TGATGCGCCCACTCCAAGACGCACCTTCTTCCAGGCGTTTATGGCGCTACTTCAATTCCACATCAAGAAGGAGAACATCCAGGAGTTCAACGGTGTGTGCGATGAATCCATTCAGCTGTCCATTAGGAAGTGGCTCCAGCTGCCGAAGAGAATCACGAACGCCCATATTCCGATCCTGCAGCATTTCCAACTGCTGGTTGAGCTTCATGATGCAAGCCATATCTGCGCCAGTCTTTCGCAGACTAACGAGCGCAACCTCGATACCAAGTCTGCCGAGTTGAAGCTGCTCTTGGGTACATGGAGAGACCGTCTGCCTAATCTTTGGGACGATATCAACGCTTGGCAGGACCTTGTCACATGGCGGCAGCACATCTTCCAGCTCATCAATGCGACATATCTTAGCCTTCTGCCTCCGCAGACGAACAATGTGGCGAGTAATTCGTATGCTTACCGTGGATACCACGAGACAGCATGGATCATCAACCGCTTTGCACACGTTGCTCGCAAGCATCAAATGCCGGAGGTGTGCATCAACCAGCTCAGCCGTATTTACACTCTGCCGAACATTGAGATTCAAGAAGCTTTCTTGAAGTTGAGAGAACAGGCCAAGTGCCACTACCAGAACCCCAAGGAGCTAAATAGTGGGCTGGACGTCATCAATAACACGAATCTCAACTACTTCGGTGCTCAGCAAAAGGCGGAGTTTTACACCCTGAAGGGAATGTTCCTTGCCAAGCTGAACCACGTCAATGAGGCGAATGAGGCCTATGGTGTGGCTCTCTACTACGAATTGAGACTTGCCAAAGCCTGGTCGGAGTGGGGACAGTACAGCGATCAACGTTTCAAGTCTGACCCCTCGGACTATGAGCTTGCCAGCAATGCCGTCAGCTGCTACCTAGAGGCTGCCGGTCTTTACAAGAATGCCAAGTCAAGAAAGCTGCTTAGTCGCATCCTCTGGCTTCTCAGCCTCGACAACGAAGAGGGGCAGATTGCACGTGCATTTGAGAGTTTCAAGGGTGATACTCCAGTTTGGTATTGGATCACATTCATACCACAGCTCCTTACAAGCTTGTCACACCGCGAAGCTCGTCTATGCAAGGCTGTTTTGGTCAAGATTGCCAAGTTGTTCCCACAGGCCTTGTTCTTCCTGCTCCGTACGAACAGGGAGGATATGCTTAACATCAAGAAACAGCACGATCAAAAGCAGGAGAAGCTCAATCGTGTCAGACAACAGCAGCAACAGCAGCAACAACAGGCTTCACCACGGCCCAAGCCTTCGCCGGGAGTCACTAATGCCTCTCCTCTCCAGAACACCCAGACAGTCAATGCCACTGCTCCGACTCCAACCCCACAGCCCCCAAGTGGTCAGCAGCCTGCACAGAACCAGGCACAGCCACCACAACAACAACCCCAGGGGCAAGCGCAAGGCCAGATGCCGAATGCAGGTCAGGTTAACAACCCGAATCAGCCACAGCAGACTCCTGTTCAAGGCCAAGTTCAAGGCCAGCCTCAAGCTCAAGGTCAAGCTCAACCTCAAGCCCAACCCCAAGCATCTGTTCAAGGACAAGTGCCCAATCAAGGGCAGCCTCAGGCGCAACAGGCACAAGGCCAGCAACAAGGTCATCTTCAGGTTCCCGGACAAAATGGAGTGCCGCAGCAGAATCAGAATGCTGCTAGCGCGGAGCCTGAGAAGGAGCCTCTCAAGAAGCCGTGGGAGTACTCTGATGAGATTATGTCAGGCCTCAAGACTGCTTTCCCTCTGCTGGCGCTGTCGATGGAGACCATGGTGGATCAAATCCACAAGAACTTCAAATGCCCTCCTGACGAGGATGCCTATCGTCTCATTGTTGCACTCTTGAACGATGGACTTGCTTACGTGGGCCGTATGCCGGGCTCTTACGCGCAAGATTTCAAGCTACCCCCTGCGACTGAAGCGAATATCACGCGGTTTGCTGAGACCATTCTCCCTGCCCACATCCGCAAATCCTTCGAGGCGGATTTTGTGGTCAAGAAGCCAACGATGTACGAGTACATCCAGAAGCTGCGCCGTTGGCGTGACAAGTTTGAAGAGAAGCTCGACCGCCGTCCTCAATCTCAATTCTTGGAGACGTATTCGCCTCATCTCAGTGAGTTCCGCTTCCTCAAGTTCGACGAAGTCGAGGTGCCAGGCCAGTACCTCCTGCACAAAGACAAAAACCAAGACTTCGTTCGGATTGACCGCTTCCTTCCCGACATTGATCTGGTGCGCGGTATCGGTGTCTGCCACCGTCGCTTGAAGATCCGCGGCCACGATGGTAGTGTGCATCCGTTTGCAGTCCAGCATCCAGCAGCCCGGCACTGTAGACGAGAGGAGCGAATTCTACAGCTGTTCCGCATTTTCAACGGACTTCTGGGCAAGCGCAAGGAAAGTCGGCGCCGCAATCTGTACTTCCATCTCCCGCTCATGGTTCCACTGGCGCCTCACATTCGCCTGGTTCGGGATGACCCGTCCTACATCTCCATGCAGGGTATCTACGAGGACTACTGCCGACGTGTGGGCATTAACAAGGACGAGCCTGTCATGTTCACTATGGAGAAGATGAGGTCTCTGGCAGAAACGAAACAGAACGTAAGTGATCCCGACTTAGCCATAAAAACGAACCGCACTAACGTCTTTCAGCGCTCCAACGACCAGCAGCAGGTCCTGCGTACTGAGATGCTCACTGCTATTCAGGAGAAGTGGGTTCCCAGCACAATTGTATTGGACTACTTCCAGCGCATGTATCCGAACTTTTCGGACTTCTGGCTCTTCCGGCGGCAGTTTGCTTACCAATATGCGGCCATTGCATTCATGACCTACGTCATGCACATGGGCAACCGGTATCCCAACAAGATTCTCGTGTCGAGGTTGACGGGTGACATTTGGGGCTCGGAGCTGATCCCCACGATCAACCCGACCAAGGCCTTCTTCTACAACCCCGAGCAGGTGCCGTTCCGCTTCACCCCCAACATCCAGACGTTGCTCGGACCGATTGCTACGGAGGGATTGTTTGCGTGCGCCTTGATGGCCATTGCACGCTGTCTGACGGAACCACGACACGAACTTGAGCAGCAGCTCAGTATCTTTGTCCGGGACGAGATGATGTTCTGGGCTACGGCTCAGCACCGTGCACCTCTGGGACCACCGCAGCTCCGCGATCTCGTCTACAACAACAGCGATGTGATCGTCAACCGGGCCGTCAGCCTTGCCAGTCCTCCTGAGGGTAACCTGCCAGCCAACCAAACCACGATCGATCTGATCTCCAAGGCCGTGAACCCGCAGCATCTTGCTGCCTGCGATGCTCTCTGGATGCCGTATCTGTAAAGCTGGTCGCTGTTTCTTTTATCTGTTTGCCTTGTCTGTGTTCTCTTGGCGTTTCGTTTGGGCTGAGGGCTTACGGGATTTCCAGCCAGTGGTTTCATTCTAGCGTGGCGCTTCGGGGCAAAACAGGGATCTTCTTGAGTATCTACTTGTTTGACGTGTTTATGCATTGTTGGTGTATCACAATTATTTAATCAATCAACATGTTCAGGTTAACATATCATGATAATGCCCGTATAGTAACAAAACTCCATGCTCATGAGCCGAACGCCATCCCACCCATAGATAATATAAACTATACCAACGACGGCTTCGCCTTCTTCTTGATCCCCAAACTATTCACAGCAGGCTTCTTCGCTTTCTTCACCCTCGCAAACGAAGGCGGCGGCGGCGGCATCTCCCCAGCACCACTGCCACCCACCCCATTATCAGGACTCTCATCATCCTCAACCAACCTCCTAACCTTCTCGCCCTCCTCCGTCCTAAACGCCCTCCTCGCCACCTCTTCAATCTCCCTCTCCACTCTCTCCGCCTCCTCATCCTTCTCCTCCCTCACCGCCCCCAACGCCACCTCCCCCCCAGCACCACCCCTCTCAATCCTCGCATTCCGCGTCCTTATCTCATCCAACGCATCCGCAATCGCCATCTCCCGCTTCGAATCCAGCATCTTCTCCTCCAACTCTGCCATCTTATCCCTCTCCTCCTGCTCCATGTTTTCCCCTTCCTCCCGCTCCAATCGATCAAGCACCTGCTCCTCTGTCTCCTCCGCCGTCTCCTCCGCTTTGCTTCTGTCCCGCCATGGCTCGAAATTGCGCTTCGCGCCCCGCTCTGCCCGGTAATCCATGTTCTTCGGGTCCGTCAGGAAGGTGATTTCGCCGCTGCATCGCGTGCAGCGGATGTAGAACCGGTAGATTGGGATGGAGAAGTATTTTTCGGATGTGGTTTCTTTGCGCGCGTTGAATTTGCGGCCCTTGTAGATGAATTCTCCTGCGAAGTAGTAATTTATGTTAGGATGAGTTTCAAGAGGGGGTGTCGGGATGGGGATGGGGACGGGGGAACGTACCGCATTTCGTGCATTTCATGGAGAAGGGGGCCATGAGGCGGACGGTTATTACTTTGGGACCTTGTCTGTGAAGCTTTCGGTTAGAGGGTATTGTGATATTTGTATCCCAGGGTAGAGGGTACTCACTGGCGCAGGTGCTTTGGTGTGCGCGTGATAGCGCTGGGATCGAAATCCGGGGGGTAGTATTTCCTTTACATATGAGGTTATGTTAGTTGCTGTGGTTGTCTTTCAGATGTTGTGGGTGTGACTTACGTGAGGACCTTTCGCTCGGACATGGTGGCGGATTATCTGTAACGTTCGTATACAAGGTGTTGTGTATGTATGGGTGGAAAGGTGTTGACGATAAGTTGAAAAGTGTAGGAGGTGAGTGTAGATGGCGATTGCGATGCGATGCTATCGGATGCACTCACGTGACGTTTACTTCTTATCTATGCACACAAGATAATTGATGAATGCTTACTAATTATGCATTTGGCTCTAACTAAATGATATACGCCTCCAATGCTATAACCGAACCATGGTGCCAGCTCCAATGACAAAACCAGGGTATACCTCTCCAAACGCCCAGTCGCTATGCTCCAATGTTTCCTGTGTCCTTCAACTATGTCTAGCGTTGCTTCGCATCCGCGACCCTCGGCTGCGCCCTCCCGCCGGGCCTGGCGTGTCGTTCATTTCCATGTCCCGACTTAGGCCTGGCTGTCGCTTGCTTCGTCCGCCGCGTACACGGCTCATAGCATGTCGGAGGAGTCCATCAGCCTCATCATCAAGCTCCATCTCCACCTTGTCTCCAGCTGTCTCCTCTGTGACCGTGGTTTGGCTGTCGACGTGAGCAACCTCATCGGTCCACTCCTCGGCGTATGCTTCGTCCACAGTCCCACGTCGTCGAGATACTTTCCCCTTTCCCTTGGAAGACCGTGTCGAGCTGCGGCTTGTGGTGATCCGTGCATCCTCTAACACCACCGGCTCCACCTGGCCTTCTAATGCCCAGATTTCCAGTGCTCGCGATAAGAGCGTGCCAGCAATGCCGGCACCACCAGCTGCATCACCACCACCACTCGCTCCCAAGACACGTACTGCCTCATGCAGGGCTGTAACGGCTTCCATGGTGCGGTTCAGCTCCAACAGCACCAGGCCGCGAGCAGTGTGCAGGGATCCAATCAACCCTCGATCCTCGTACCCTCCAACTCCGGATGAGGCGACTCCAGAGGCATTTCCTCCGCTGCCTCCTAGGAACGGGCCGTACCCGAAGCTTGCACCCGCCGCACCAATGCGAAGACACTCGTCGAACTCGGCCAGTGACTCTTGGAATTGACCGATACGTCGCAGGGCATGCCCGAGATTAGCTCGCGTGGCAACCCAGGCCCCAGGTTCACATTGAAGGGATGTGGCCAGCGTGAGGGACTGACGGAACAGCTCGACGGCGCCCTCGAGGTGATTCTGATGGTACAAAACTACACCCAGCTCGTTGAGTACGAGCGGGTCACCACCCAAAGAGGTGAGTTCCGACGGATTGGCCCTTATAGAGGGAGCAGAGCTAGACGCGGATCCGGTCGACATGGAATAGGCGGCCGACAGGTACTCATGGGCCAAGGACATGTTGTTTAGCGCAAGATGTTGCATTCCCAGGAAGAGCTGCGGTAAATGACTGCCCTGGAAAAGCCGAGCTGCAGTGCTATACGCCGCAATGGCTTGATCGTGCTCTCCTTCGGCAGCAAAGGTATGAGCGAAGCCAATCCATGCTGGCGCAGAATGCGGGTCCAAAAGAGACGCTTTGGAGAAATAGCGTCGAGCTTCAGCGATCTTAGAGACGGACAAGTAATAAACACCAATTGCGAGATATGTATAAGACTCTTCGGGAGCATGATCGGCAAGCGTATGGGACAGAAGGAACAGGGCGTTCGTGGCACCCGTCTCATATAAGCAAGCCAAATGCAAGGGGTACACGGCAGGCGGATGTCCCAGGTGGCTTTGGGCGGAAATATGGACTGCAGGCGTCATCTGCGACGAAACCGCAGACTGAGATGTGGACAGAACTGACGAAGTCAGTTCCAAAGCTTCAGCAAATCGGCATTGCGTATATAGAGCTTCAGCGCGAGAAAGCAGAATATCCGGATTCTCCGCTAGGTTGTAGTGAGTTGATAGGGTTTCGGTAGCGTCTGAGAGGATCGTAGGCGATGAATATTTCGACAATCGGGTGGTGTAAAGCATCTTCGTAAAGTGGGCGGCCTCCTGCGCGACTGACTGGTCGGGACTCGACACAGAGTCGAAATCAAGGGACTCGAGGAATTCCAGCTCCTCTGCCGGAGACATGAGGGAGTTCTTCATAAGCTGGTCAAAAGCCTCGAAGCACTGCACGTCAATGCGTACGGCGTCCTTGTAGCAGTCGCGAGCACGGTCAAACGCATTTTGTTTCGCAAAGCAGAGTCCCCGTAAGTAACACATCGCCGCCTCAAACCGAACGTTATTTGCATCCTCCCGCTCTCGCTCTTCGCCCCGATCGATGCGCGACGCTGTCGTCTTTCCGTTCCGCAAGGTAACATGGCTTTGACCGTTAAGGTGTTGGATTTTGCGGCGACTATTGCTGCTGCGTATAAGATGCGTAGGATTATGATCGCCCAGGACTGAAAGTGCCTGATCGAACTGATTCTGTTTGATGTGGCAGTGTGCGGCCAGATAGCGACAAGCCGTACTTCTGGAGATCAGGTCTTTTCGTGACAGGAGGGCCAAGGCACGGGCGTAGTTGTTGTTCGAAAAATGTACTTGTGCGAGCCAAAAGGCATCAGAGTCGCTGTCTAGAGAAGCAATAGGTTCAGCACTGATCGGGATGATACTGGGTTGGCTCACTCACTGGTTAGCGCAAGCACTTTATCGCCAATGTAGATGGCCGCATCATGCTGGCCCCGGTTCAGCGCATCCTGACGCCAGGAGCGCAGAAACTTCTCCATGACCAAATAAAGCACGTGGGACACGAGATTGAGTGCGGTTCAAGAGCGAGGGGCTGTCACAACGGTCGCATGGACAGAAAGGCATGAGGCGGGTTGGAGGGGCGACGGCGTCCGGGGAGAGTAAACAGACCGCGGCGTCCCTCAGCAGGCAATACAACTTTCGCAGAGAGGAGCTGGCTATCACACTAGCAGTGCTAGGTTGAAATACCGTGTACAGGCCTGCAAACAGAGAGAAATAACCGGAAAGGCAATAAGCAATGTGGTATTGGAGAATGAAGCTCCGTCGGATTGTTGCGAGAATCCAAAGTCCAAAGCGGCGCGTGTTCGGGTTCGGGTCCGTGCGTCTTGCCCGATCGAGAAGCCGGGCGGATGCTGCTTCATCTTCCACTGCTCTATATCGATCTAGTCTATTCAGTCTATCTTCAAGCTCTATCTATCTACCCTTAACGAGTAGCATGCTCTCAATAATTCTCAAAATACCTTTGTAACCCGCCAACCAACACTGGCTCCCTTGGCCAGAAACAGAAATAGACAGGCTCCAGCATATGCCGCTCCACTGAACCCAATCAAGCCGGAATACTCTGTCTCTACTTTCCCCCGATTCTGCCCCTTCAAGATCTCACCAGCCACAGGAATGGCAACTAACAACGCAAACGCCATCAGCGCGATTGTTGTACCGAATCGTTTGCCATAGCTCTCAGTTTTGGAGATTTGAGCCACGCAGACGGGTGTCAGACTTATCGCTGGTCCGCTCCAAAACCCGACTAATGCCGCGAAAGCCAGGATACAAGCTTTGTCGGTGCCCGCCGTAAACCATAGGCCAAAGGACAGAATAGTACATACAGCACAGGTCCCAAACATAACGTTGAAGCGGCCCCATATATCCGCTAAGACTCCCGGAATGACGCGGCCGAAGATAGATGTTGCGCTCATGATCGTCATGAGCTGGTAGGAAAGGGCGCCAGTGATGCCGTGCGATTGTGCATAGGACGGATAATAGGTGACTAGGACTATCAAGCCGATTTCCGCGAAAATGACGGCGATGGAAGTCATGGTGAAGACGGGCTCCTTGAGCGCGCGAATGTCGATCTTGTTCCCTGCTGACGGACTAGGTGGGAGACGTGCTTCGAGAGTAAGCAGGCTGACCATTAGGCTAGCGAGGAATATAAATCCCAGGATGCGAATAGTCCAGGGAAACCCAATTTTATTGCTCAGGATACCGAACACATTGGTGAAGATAATTCCTCCAATGCCACCCCCTGTCGTCGCGATCCCGGTCGCTAGACCACGTCTTTTGAGGAACCAGTGCGTGATGCACGCAGCACTGGGTGTGTACACTGCTGATGCAGAGAGCCCACCTAAAATGCTGAATCCCAAGATGAACTGGTAGTATTCTTGACCAGGCAAAAGTCAGTCCATGAAACCGGGGCTGGAGATATCCAACCGTACCGTGGGAGACGCTGAGGAACATCATCGACAAGGTCATGCCAATGCAGCCAGGCACGAGAATATATCTGACACCATGTGCGTCAAATATGGGCCCTCCAGGATGTGTCAGTAGATGTTCGAGCGTCGGAATGGAAGCGATGCATACCAATTTGGATGCCACCGAGATAGAAGAAGAAAAGCCACAAACTGAAGATCCACGAGATTGATGCTTTTGAATATTCATGTAGCTGGTGTTCTGCCAGCCAATCTTCCAACAACCCGTACAGGTTCATTATTCCCATTGTCGGGAAGATGGCGCACCATGCGCCCAAGACTACTAACCAGGCTCGCCATCCTCCTTCCGGGAAAGATGACGATTCTTCGCTGTCAACGAGTGTCTGGGAATCATCGTTTTTCTCGTTCTCACTCGAGGCTGCTTGTATCACGGTGCAGACATCATCCTTAGTTGACTCCATAATGATGTATGAAGGAACAAGAGTGAATGACCCAGAAAGCTGGAATTGCTGGAACATAACCAGCAGCAGCAGCAGCATCAGTCGCCATGCTGTTACGAACACAGCATACCACTAGTTTCGGCGATCATTGGAGCAATAGCCTATCTCCTTCCCGACGGAGAATTCCCTTGCATCGGTGACTGTGTTCCCGAGAGATAGCATGTTGGCGAGATTACTATTAGCAACAGGAGAGTGAAACAAGTATGCAAGACATGCCTGTATCAGCATCGATCTACAGGATCTACAGTGCAGTGGCGATAGCGCTGTAGGGACACGATATGAAAAAGCAAATCGCCATTTGTACAACCTGCTGAGTCCTAAAGCGTATCCTACTAACACTACTTGCTCAGTGACAGCTATCGGCATGTTAAAATCTGGCCCAAGGAACTTATTGATCAGGTAGAAGCGCTCCGACCATGTGCATCGAACCTACCAATAAAACCCAGATATAAAAACCCGCATTCTCTGAATTGACTTCTTAACAGTATGAGGCATTCCAAACCATCGCAAAAAAATATAAATAGAGCAGTAAACCCAAAATTCACGTAAGCATCGTGATGATCTACTACTAGTATTCTCAACCTACCGTTATGACTAGTATATGCTAAAAGCCATCCTGAACAGTAAGTTATGTATCTTAGTGCTCCCCCGCCAACCTAGCAATGCAAAACTATTATGGACTTGTTACTAAGAACTAAGGATTTTGTCTTCCCATCCTGGATCGTCTAATGATATCTGCAACAATTGGTTTTCCTGTGTTCTTAATAATTAAGCCAAGTGGATGTTCGATGCATCTCGTTAGCCTCTAGTCAGGATAGCTTCTTCTCATACTCATCACTACAAATGCACAAGGGGGTTGATCAAAACAAACAAAATATAGAGACTGTGTGAATATAGTAGCAAATTTATAGTAACTAGTAATTCGAAGGATCCAGCACGCAGCATTCAAACTGTATCCTGGAAAGACGTAATCGCGGCCCACATCAAACAATATAACTCTTCAATCTAAGTAACCTCTGCTTGCCCATTTCCAGGACCTCGTCTTCTTTGCAAAACGCAAATCGAAGAAAATCCTCACCTATATGCGCATTGTCATCACTATAGAACTCCGACGGCGGAATAGCGGCAATGCCAATCTCCTGGATCAAGAACCAGCAAAGCTTGAAGTCTCTTCTTCGTTGTTCGATATGTGCTGGGAATACATAATCGCTGGGGATTTGTACCCGGGATAAGTTCACCAGGACAAAGTATCCGCCTTCGGGTTCGGTGTACTTAGAAACTCTCGTCAGTACGAATGATTCTCTTTCTTCCAAAGGTTCCATAAATGAATCGGATAAGAAGGACAAACCGGTAGTCCAAGGTCTTCGAAAACCTCACAGAACAGCCTCATCTTATCTTTCATTTCCTGCCGGCTATGCTCCCAAAAGCCGTTTCTGTCCGCCGCTTCGAAAGCAACCGCCACTGCTTCCTGTAGCGGAGATACGCTGCTGTAGCAGATGCGGGTGTGTACTGCGGAAACATATCTGATGAGTTGCTGTGGCCCAATCAGATAGCCGATTCTCCAGCCCGTGGCATGGAAGGCTTTCCCAGCGGATGCGACAGTTAGTGTGTGGTCGTAGAGGTCAGGGGAGATAGTTGCGATTCGCGTAAAGGGGACATAGTAAAGGTGGTCGTAGACCTCGTCGGAGAGGATCAGAAGATCGTGTTTCAAGCAGAAGTCGCCAATGCGCTGGAGCTCCGTCTCTGTGAAGACTTTTCCTACGGGGTTGTGACTGCAGCGCGGTGGTTAGCTTGTTGGATTAGTGAGGTGTAAATGAATTGAGGCGTTCATACGGCGTGTTGAGTATCTGGACTTGGTTAGTGAACGCATAATAAGGTAGTACAGAGGATAGGCAAAGGATATGGCCCATACAATCATCTTCGTGTTTTTGTTTATGGCTTTCTCAAGCTCTTCAAAGTCGACTGTCCATTCGGATGCACTTGCTATTGCCCTACTGCTGTTCTTTGGCGGGTGAAGAGGCACATAGCGAGGAATACCACCTGCCAGTTCAATTCCGCTTCTATATCTATCACACGATGGCTGGGAGTCAAACCTGCGGAAACAATGTCTTGTCCATGAAAACATACTGGTCAAAGAAGGGTTCAAATGTGACGACTTCGTCACCGGGATGTATAAATGCCAGTAATGCACACAGCATGCCTGTATATTTTTTACTGATCAGTGACCACCTGAACGTGATAGTTACCTACAGGCTTACCTTCATTGGCACCTGAGGTGATGGTGACTTCATTCTCCTCGTCAATAGGTCTTTCAAGTAACTTGGAATAAGCCGAAGCAATGGCCTTTCTCAGACTTAGGCGGCCCTATTGAACTCTCAGTATTAATCAGATCTATACAATGAGGCTGTAGCTATAGCTTTACCTTCGTTGGAGCGCACTGGTTGCAATCAACCCTATTGAGCGCTTCCTTGGCCGCATCTATAGCAAACTGAGGCGGGTTAAAGCCACTTAATGAGTGATTAGGTATATAATCAGCCACACGGACAGAAGGAATAAGCTCACAAGAAGCCTTGTCCCAGGTTCACGATTGGTTGAATTGGAGATATAGCAGCTGCTTCGTTGACGATTGACCTATATGTGCTTGGTTAGTGTTCTATATATCAAAGGTGTCGATGAGTGTGAGGAGATAATGGATGTACCAGACATCCAGCCTGTCAGAGGCCACCCTTGGCGCCGGAGTACTAAAAGAACCGCTGCTGCTACGTGCCTCCATGTTCAGACAAGGACTGGAGCTTTTGGATTCTGGGGATGAGAATGGTTTCTAGGCGGAAGACCAGTGTCCTGAGTGCCGTGAGTCTTTTGAAAAGGTAGTCTGAGCGTCGAAGATACTGGGAAACCTGTTAAACCCAAGAAAGAGAGTGTATTTAATCAAAGAAAAGAGAATTAATGCCTATACATGCAGGGGTTCGACACCTCAAGATAGTCCATCTTCTAATGGCCACGGAAACTACATCCCGCCAAACAGAAATCAAGTGTTGTGGTGCATTGTTACTAATGCGTGCCAAAGAGCAGCAAGGGCTTACGTTACCAAGCCAAAATCAAGGTCGGAAACATCACAAGGTCAATATAGTAGTGTGATGAGCTCAGTCAACCTTGATTTCTTCAGCGCAGGAGTCCATAAAGCACAATCCTGACTCGCGGAAACATAAGCCGATGTGCCTCACTGCTTCGGGCTTGCCCTACGAGAACGCAACACCTGCAGCATTGGTACTCTGTGACCTGTGCTATACTGGAGTTATATGTAACGTATTACTCGCGGGCTGTATGTAAGATTACTTATGTCTAGATCGAACAGTCTTACTCGAACAGATGCGAGTTGGGATAATGAGGGAAGGTGACACCAGTACTCAGTCACAGAACAGGGTAGGAGTTATAACATAAGCTTGATTTGCCACCAACCTGCTTGAACAGAACAAAGGTCTCACAAGCCAATCACTTCATGATTCTGTTTATAGAGATTCCCTGTAATCTCACTCTACATAGTTCTCGGATCGGACTCCATGTTCTGTCCGATGTTGCAATTTGTCTCATCTGCAGTCTTGCATAACTATGCCTAAAGCTTCCGGGAACCCTGTTCCTGCGGGAAATCCCAGGATGGAGATGCATCTGCACCGTTTGGTCGAGTTGCACGAGCAAAGCCGTTCTCGACTCCCTCGATCTCAGCTACAGGTCGTACAACTTCCACGTCCGCTCCGTAGTGATGAGAGTACCATATCTCTGTCAGACTATTCTGGCGATCCCCTGGGGATGGTTCCACAAAGAGGTGTGGAAACCGTTCCCTCATGACCTCTAATGCCAGGACAGAACTGCGGCCAACGCTGTCGCAGAAGCGTAACTTGGAAAATGCAGGAGCAAAGGCATGCTGCAGCTGTGACTCTGTAGAGTTCGGATATTGGCCGACAGCAAAGAGCAGTAAGTTGAACTGCATCAAGGAAACCTGACCAATATACGATCCGCCGTATCGTATACGATTGTAAAGGCCCGTCAAGGCAGCGATGGCACCCATGCAACCGGCACCAGAGTCAGCTATAGGCAACGGGGATACCATCGGTTCCGCCGCACGGCCAAGGAATCGCCCATGACACCTTGCAAATCCGGTGAGCTATTTGCAAGTCAGTTTTAATAGGAGAGTGTCCCTGCAAAGCTCATTTGGGTGTGTTACATACGCAATCGGCTATCTGTTGCCATCCTGGGCGATGGCACCACTCACCTTCGTGCCCAAAGCAGGTTTCGTCTATGTAGACGATCCCTTTCCCACGCTTCTCTGCCATGGCAGCCATAGTTTCTGGGCTGTATCCAAGTTTTCGAAGGGCGCCAGGGCGGTACCCATCAATGATCACATCGACATCAGCGAGAAGGGCTTCGAAATGGCGGCGATCCTCATCAGCCTTGAGATCTAATTCCACAGCACGCTTGCCCATGTTATTGTCGACCTGAAAGAATGGTACGTCAGGCACCGTTGGAGATGTAACCTTCAAAACATCCGCTCCGTATTCAGCTAATGTACGACCGATCATGGGCCCTGCAATGACACAACAGAGCTCCAAGACCTTGACACCTTCGAGTATCCTATGACTTCCACTAGGGTTGAAAGCGGCTGGCGGTGTCTTCCCTGGCAGGCGCATAACCTTCCACCAAGGTTCCTCTATATTCGTTCTACCCTGTTCACAATATGAGTATATCTTGGTTTTCTGTCCGTGTGAGCTGCGAGGGTCACCTTACATGGGGAGTGTTTTTGAATTCTTCATACTCGTACACCGTCACCCCTGCTTGCCGATTCGTCTCGTTGAGTCTCTCTAGCTCAGCTGCTGAGAACTTTTGAACCTGGCTCTGAATAGTGTTTATGATCTCATCGTAGTCAGTGAGATCCGCGCGGTGGCTGTCTAAACCGAGCATTTTCAGAGTGGAAGTTGGGTTCAAAGAGCCATGCAGATGAAAGAACTCGTTATCATGCTTGGTCCGGTACATACTGGCTGCCATTCGCCGATACGGATTTGATTGTGCAGCATGGATATCGGTATCTTCGTCTCGTCAATTTCTGCTCCCTGCACTAGGAAAAAGAGAGCGGCTTACCTTTCATGTATCGTTTGACCTTAGGGTCGGATCGGGAGTACCCATTGATCTTGGCGGCCAGTGCCTGAAAGCCGAAAAGCGTTGCCCTTTCCAGGTTGATTGTAGTCTTCCGTTCATGTGGCTTAGATGCTGACTGCAGATCCGCTATTAGAGCTGCCAGGGCTCCTTCTATTCCCTTGAGAGCTGCCAGGGTTTCGGTGACCTTGAAAGGGATCGGATAGTAAATCGTATCTGAATTGGCCTGAAACTGTACTCGGCTACTATAGATCTCGCTTGGGAGACCGAGACGTTCAGAGTTCTGGCAAAGAAGATCGTAAATTCTTCTTGCCTCTTCTGAGGGTCGATACATGTCGCTGGTCACCTGTGGAATAAACGGGGCAGTTCGATAGAGCTACTAGAATCAATGTCTTCTTTTTTGGTTGACCGGTGCCCGCAATATGTCTGCACATAAATGCATCAAGGCTTCATAGATAGCTTCAAAATATAATGTCTCATGCTTAGCCCAGATTACCGGTATCTGAGGCATGTGGGATGGGTATCCCCTTGCATCAATAGTCATCTCATCGTCTCCTGTCTCGAAGCAGACTCCGACCATCACCGAGTGACCGTATCGAAAACATGCAATTATGACATAGTATTGTACTTATCAAGAAGGGAATACCAGTGCTTTCTATAGCGTCAATGGATGCATTAACGATCGTCCCTCGCTGATGCAATCTGTTGTCCCACCCCCGAATTGGGAACAAGTACAGTGTAATATGTGTATAAACCGAATAGGAGACGAGGAAAACGCACCTGTTCGTGATACATTCTTCGTAGCAGCATTTGGTAACCCTGCAGTAGTACGGAGAATGCAACCTCGTCCGGTGGATCTGTGACGCTACTTACCGTTCTTACAGAAATTGGTCAGATGATGTGCGTAATCATCTTCCCGAGGAGTGTCCTTAATGGTCTACTTTGGCTACACAAAAGTCAAGCAACATGGAACGTCGCGTACTTGCCAGGATAATCCTGCAATGCGTGGGTTTGCTCTTCTATCCAGACCGCGTTCCGGTTCCAGCCATGCCATTTTGCATGCGGTTCATCTGCAAGCAAGATAAAGTTAGAAAATGCTGTTCCTTGAGCAATTCATACATTCGAAGAACTATAAAATGGCAGATATCGGTGCATACTTTTCCGCTTTGCGGATAGTACCATCAAACACTCCATTTCTGCTTATATCTGGTCCAAGCCTTGGCCTTATCTCCCCTGATCCAGTCGAGCCTCCACTTGTCAATTCACTGGCACAATGACCGTGAATTCTATAACAGACATCCTCCGCAAAGCAGCAGACCATCAGGAACCTCGTGGTGTCTGTGCCTATTCGACCGGCATCGCTGGGATCGGTTCCGCAACGAGGTTAAGTTACACAGAGCTCGATTCATTGGCCACATCGAATGCTATACTACTAGGGCGGCTGCAGTGCGACACCGAGTCTCCTGTCATACTACTTCACTTTGAAGACCATCTGGACAATATCATATGGTTTTGGTCTACCTTATATGCAGGCTACATTCCTGCAATGTCCACTGCTCTGCCTCGAAGTGAAGAACACCGCACAAGGCATCTCTGCCATCTAAGCGAGCTGTTCGATAAGCCTATCTGTCTAACTCGGAAAACCCTCCAAAACCTGCTCACAAGAGAGTCTCCCTTGCACGTTGTGGCTATAGAATCATTGAATGGTTCACCAGCAGAGTTTGTCGCTCCGACAGAAACCAGTTCCGGAGCACCAGTAAATAGCGGTGGTGGGCATCCTGCTCTGCTGATGCTCACATCTGGAAGTACTGGTCTGCCAAAAGCCGTGTCTCTAACACACAACCAGATACTGGCCTCCCTTCAAGGGAAAAGCCATTCACTATGTGCTGAGGACACTGGTCATTCATTCTTGAATTGGATTCGGCTCGACCACGTCGGGAGTTTAATCGAGATACATCTCCATGCACTATTTGTCGGGTACGACCAAGTTCACGTTCCGCCTAACGAGATAATATCTCGGCCGGCCTTGTTCCTCGATCTCATAAGTCGACATCGTGTAGTTAGGACGTTCGCGCCCCACTTTTTCCTCGCTGAAGTTGGCCGTTATTTGGAGACATCCCAAGGAGAAGATAGACCTCACTTTGACTTGAGATGTCTACGATACATCGTGTCTGGTGGGGAGGCTGTTGTTGCCAGTACTTGTGCCAAAGTGTCTCGATTGCTGGTCCAACACGGCGCACCTGAAAATGTCATCGTCCCTGGATTCGGCATGACTGAGACTTGCGCAGGGTGCATCTACAACTTGGAATTTCCTGCATTTGATACTCGCAACGAAAATGAGTTTGCTTCCCTGGGAAAGTGTGTCCCGGGCGTTCAGGCACGGATCGTCTCCATAGCTACGGGTGACAGTCCCGCGGCCTTAGGAGAGGAAGGCCAGCTGGAACTCAGAGGTCCGCTTGTATTTTCTGGTTATTACAACAATCAAGCAGCAACCAGTGAGGCTATCGGCCCCGATGGCTGGTTTCGAACTGGGGATACGGGTTACATCGGCGCGGGCGGCAGGATAAGTCTGTCCGGTAGGACGAAAGAATTGATCGCCGTCAACGGTGTCAAATATGTTCCGCATCAGCTGGAAGCCGCTATAGAGGAAGCAAGCATACCAGGTATTGTTTCTGGCTGTGTGATATGCTTCTCATTCCGTCCCAAGGGTGCAGAGACAGAGCGACCTTGCGTCATCTACCAGCATACCTATTGCGTTAACGATGCTAAAGCTAGATATCAGACGATGACTGCCATCTCGCACCGTATCACGATGATAACAAATATGCGCCCGTATATATTGCCTTTACAGACTGTAAAACGCACATCCTTAGGGAAGCTTCCTCGCTCTAGCCTGCAGCGGGAGGTTACAAGTGGTCAGTACAAAATGCAAGAAGCTATCGACAGAGAAATGATCAAGAAGTATCGACAAGCCATTTTCAGGCCACCCGAGTCACCTACCGAAAAAGTGATAGTGGAAGAGCTGTCAGAACTCCTGTCCCTACCTCAAGAAGACATCGGAATCGACACCGACCTCTTCGAACTAGGCCTTACCTCATTAACGCTTATCCGGCTCCAACATGCCTTGCGAACAAGGCTGTCACTAAATGAGCCAATCCCTCTCGCCACGATGATTGCCCATAACACTGTCCGTGGTTTATCTGAAGCATGCCAACAACATCACCAATACATCCCAGCCGTGAAGCTCCAATCCAGCGGCAACAAGACACCTCTATGGCTCGTACACCCTGCCGCAGGCGAAGCCCTCATATTCATCAACATAGCCAAGCTCATCACAGACCGACCCGTCTACGCATTCCGGGCCCGCGGATTCCACCACAATGAGCCATATTTCACCAGCATCGACGAATGCATCCGCACTTACCACTCCTCCATGAAGAAGCTTCAACCGCACGGCCCTTACGCTATCCTCGGATACTCCTACGGCACGATGCTAGCATTCGAACTTGCCAAGTCCCTCGAGAAAGCAGGTGACCAAGTCCAATACCTTGCCGGCCTTAACCGTCCTCCATATGTTAGTCCAATCCTGAAGAGAGTTACATGGACCGACTGCCTAGTTAACATCTCCTACTTCCTCGGACTTCTTTCTTGAGACTCATACCGGACTCTCCTTCGGGAGATCTCAGGGTTTCCGAAGCATGATGCCTTGGCCAGAGTGATCGAGAAAGTGGATCCTGGCCAGCTCCTGGCGTTGGGCCTCGATGAAGGTAGTCTAGAACAGTGGATCAATGTTGCCTTCAGCCTACAGGAGATAGGAAGAGAATATGAGCCGCGTGGTGTGGTGAATGCACATATGGATGTCTTTCATTGCACTCCATTGGAGTTCCTGAATGTTACACCTGAAGAATGGAAGCGACGTCTGGCTGCTTGGGAGAATTTCTCCGGACAGAAGGTAAACCTGAGACATGTACCAGGTGACCATGCTAATGTCTTAGGACCGGATCATGTGCAGGTGTTTGTGAAGAAGTTGGGTGAGGCTATGGCGTTGCAGGGTCTTTAGTATCCAGTCTCTATGTCTTCGCCTGGAGCAGTGTAGTGGCAGTATGAGTTTATTTGCTGTCATCTACATTGCAAATATTTCCCTTTCAATTTATTTTCCTGGGGATTTTCAGCCGGTCTGTGGGTGTCAAGATTTTATTAGAAATGGGGAAGAGTATAGATAACCGCAGCCACACGATCATCCTTCCGCTTGCAGTGCAATGATGTCCTACCAACCCTACCATTGATACTTAGCCTATTTTATTGCCTATATAACCCTTTCCAATAAACTGATAAGTACATACGACCACAGGGTGTGGAAAATAGGGCTTCCCGTCCGCTCAGCCGTACTCAAGCCACACGCCGGGAGGTTAGTAGTTGGGTGGGTGACCACTAGCGAATCCCTTCTGTTGTATGTAATTTTTTTTTTTTCGATATTCTCTTTTTTTTCTTGTCGAACCTTTCTATATATGGCTCAGTCAGCCTCTCGTGTATTGGTTTGCTGTATTGTCTCTGATTTACCATACTAGCTATGTCCATTTCCGTACTGAGCTTCGTCTTTAGCTCAATCTCAACACTTTGTTTGCATGGCAGCAGCCGATCTTTTTATTGACATGAACCATAATATGAGAGTTGAACGCCCAAACATTCAGAGAGGGAGGTATGATAATGACACCAGCATGCTTCCCATAGGCTAGGATACCACCGAACAATAACAAAACCATTGCATGTGAGACCTGATGACGAAAGGAACCCTCAACGGCTCCAAAGTATGCCTCGTCGAATCCGGGGACATCGGTATATATTGAGCCTCATTCCTCCTCGAGAATAGCATCAATATCATCAACGTGGTCATTAAAATTTGGGCTGGCGCTGGTAGAATGTGAATATGGAATGTGCTTGATGTACGACGCGGGCTGAGGATGTGAGGTGGATTCTGCCACAGCAGCATAGACCTTATCCCAGATGCTGTCGTCCGATTCACGGCTAAGGATCGCATGTAATAGTGGTATCAGATTTTCAAACTGAGATTCATTGGCATTGATTCTCGAGGTTAGGATTATGAGATCACTCAGGAGGTTTTGGCGTCCAACAACAGGAGGTAATACACGGGAGGCAGGAAGCGCCTGCAAGGCGACGACCAGGTCCAGTGATATACTCTTGCGAGCTAGAGACACTGTTAGAAGCGCTCAGAGGATTGGGAGCTTTACAACCTTCATTTTCGAGATCATATCGGGAGTTCACACAGTATGGGAGCCCTAGATCCTCGCATGTTAACACTAGCTTAGCGCGGAAGGCATTCATTCTACCGCCAATCGGCTCTTGCTCGATGATCTCTGCTATGGAAGATCTGGTCATTCTGGATATCACAAAACAAAATCAACAACAATAACAGGTGTGTGGGATTTAAAAAGAAGACGCTTGTGAGGCAGTCAAGCAAAGTCTAGGGCGTGTGCACGCTGATCAATGGCAATAATCATGTCGTTTATCGGGGTGTCTTTATATTGACGGATAGTAGATTGTCCGAGGAACGGGCGCTGTTCCAAATTCACAAGAATGCTGGCTGATTCTGTATTATTGAAGAGTTTGAGCGCGTACTTACTGGTTCTCTGATTGTATCAAATGAATCACTGGTACAGTCACTGAGCGCGTTGCACTGGGCGATCTGTGTACCACGTTGTGAATCGGAGATAAGCAATCCAGCCGAGGAAGGACCCCCCCACTGTTTTCCTTGCCGCATGTGCCTTGCATGCTAAATAACAGGGACTCGGAAGCCTCTCATTGCGGGGACACTGGTCATATGCTTACTTCTGATTCATTCACTGTTGCCTCCCATTCCTCAATACCATCAGCCCATCCGTCAACCTCACTCGTGATGACTCAACCTCTTCACCTTCCATCCACAGAAGCTTTACCACCATATGACATACTCAATTTTTGGTACGGTGCTGGCACTGATACTGAGTTAACTATATTCTGCTACGGGAAAAGATTCAATATAACCGTATCTGCCGATAATCTACAAGGAGATCCCGATGTCGAAAGCGAATATTTGTCCCTGCTTCGGAAGCTTGATTCCGGCGAGCTTTTCGAGCAGGAAGATGATAAGGGCGATCCAATGGAACAGCTGTGTTTCTGGATAGCTTTCAGATGTAACTCTCAGATGAGAGCCCTGGGTTCCAAACAACAACCACAATTACACACGCTCTACGATTGGTTTTATCCTGAAACCATCATTCTAACTCCTATGATCATTGATGGAAGACTGCAAGTGCATTCATCTACACCGAGCCAGCAGCTCCTGCAGGACATGTTACCAAGTGTGGAGTTGACCTGCTCGATCGCAGACTTTAAGATTCCAGTTGTGACGTCTTCGAAAGTCTTCTTACCACAAGATATGGCAGGAGGAGACTTACCCCAACGACCAACAAAGGTCTTCACTGAGCACGGAATGCCACGGTTCTTCAAGCCTGCTTATATCATGGAACCCGCAATTCGAGAGATATCCACATTGCTCCGTATCCAAGAACTTGGCTTATTGAACATTATCCGTGCACCTAAGGTTCATGAGTTTGTGGATTCTCAAGGCAACTCATCCAAGATATCAGGCATTTTGATGGACTATATCGAGCATCGTGACAGTTTGGGATATATTGATATCCCAAGCACGCCTTTACCAGTTCGGAGAAAATGGATAAGCCAGGTACAGCACACGATAGAAACGTTACATGCTGCGGAGATAGTTTGGGGCGATGCGAAGCTGGACAATATCCTGGTTGATGTTGATGATAATCTGTGGATTATCGACTTTGGCGGGGGCTACACCCATGGCTGGGTCGATGAAGACAAGCAGGAAACTATCGAGGGGGATAATCAAGCACTTTCTAGGATAGTTGATTTTCTAGTGGGAAAAAGCTCGGAATAACTGTCTCATTCAGTGCATGATAGAAAAGAGAGCGACTTCCCTTTCTTTGTCAACAGTGTAGTAGTTGAGATTTGTTCGCGGAGTAATTATTCCCTGATTATTTATATTCATTCTCATGCAAGAGAATCATCGCCCAGCCTTCTGAATCCCTTATTCATGAGGAGATATAGCCAAGTGCCGTTGTTAAGAAAGCACAACCAGGACCGGACAACCTCAAAAGGCAATTGAATGCTAAATGGGGATTATTGATGCTATTCTACACAGAAGAACTATTCTTAACATTCCTTCGAGCAAGGTCCCACAGTCTGGACATCCTCAATATCCCGACTTAAAGTGGATTCTTAAAATTGGTGCACTTCTTACTACGGAGACAGCAACTTAATTCCTCTTCTGGATGGAGACCTAAATTATCTGTACGGCTTATCTAATACGTAAATAGGATAAAATCGGGTTTATCGAGCTGATGGTACAAATAAGCAGGCCTCATCAACGTGAGCGTAGAACTAAACCTGTCGTCAAACGACCTGGTGTTAGTTGTTCCTCTGATAATGGCCCCTTGGGTGAGGACAACCTAGGAGCAACAAAACCCATAACACTGGAAAATTAATAGGCAACACCGCGCCAAAGCTAATATATATGGATAGTCATCGACTATGTAGGCGAGTTCACGTCTACCAAGTGTTGGCTATTATATGCAGCGATGATGTTCCAGGCCGAACGGATCGACCTAACTGGTCTTTTCACAACCGCAAAGCTGACAAGAATCCAGAGGATTCTGGCCTAGAACGGCGCTGGTAAGATAACGGCCTTTGCAGCATTTACTACCTTGATCAGAGGCACACTATTGCATGCACATGAGCCATTTGAATATTGCTAAAAAGGGAGACAAGGACATGAAAGTTCAGTACATCAGTATTCAAATCGTATGTGGAACTTCTCTTGCTGCCTTATCGACCACAGGTCTGGCTGCCATGGCGGAAACGAAGAGAGTCGCAGAAAGAATAGTTAGGAGCTTCATATTGGTATTGTTACGTGTAGGGTAAATTGACGCTTTGATCGAGCCTGTTCGTGATCGCCTAAAGTCGGCCATTGTTACGGCCTAATCCCCATCGTACGAAGAGGGATTCTGTTAGTACCCTGTAGGTGATCGCGATGCTACTAAGTCTCTGTTACCGCACGGTTTCAAGGAGCCATCCTCTCGGCCAATCACAGACCATGGCCGCAGACAAGGGTTCTTCCGACTAAGTGAATGCTTTAGTATCTGACTGGTGCAGTCGTGCGCAGATAAGGAACTGCAAGGTTTAACGGAGAACTAACTCAGTAGTCGCCTTAGTTCCAGATAAAGACAATTTTCTGCTGCTGCCTAGAAAAGATCTCCCCTATGTAGATGTAGCTGATTAGGTTGCTTACGGTACTTATCTTTAAAAGCCATTTGACTTCGATTTTATCACCTGAAACCATTGTAAGCCGAAAATCACGGTACTAATTCGCGTTTGGTGTCGTCTATCTACTAACATGGAAAGCTTATGTAGCTCTGCAGCTGATCAGACATTTGGGCCCCCAATCCATGGCTGCTCCTACCTGGACTTCACCCTTCTCTTTGAGCAGGTAATATTTGGCATTATCCCATCGGCATGTTTTCTCCCAGCCGTGGCCTGGAGGCTGCTGCAGCTCTTTGGGCAATCCGGGAAGATCACATTGACATCAAGTCAGCATGCGAAGATCTCGATTTGGGTGAAGATCATTCTGAGCATCGCTTTGATCTGCAGCCAAATTACCTTATTGATGCTCTGGGCGATGGCTCCGCAACATTACAATAAAACCACCATTGCATCGGCCTGCCTGTCATTGATATGCTCCCTCGGCATACCGATCCTGTCCTGGAACGAGCACATACGATCCGTTTCGCCCTCCAATCTGCTTTGTATCTATCTCCTATTCAGCACATTGTTTGATGGCGTACAAGCCAGGACATTATGGTTGCGATTCCCTTCTACTATCGCGGGAACATGTACTGCAGGCCTGGGTGTTCGTTTCTTGTTGATCATAGCAGAGTCACAAGAGAAACAGACATATCTGAAGCCTCAATTTGCTAATTATTCTCCAGAGAAATTAGGGGGCATGGTTAATCGTATCGTTTTCTGGTGGCTGAATCCCTTGTTGGCTCGCGGGTCTCGCGGGTTGTTAAGTCCCAGCTATCTATTCCCTATTGATCCCAACCTCTCGGCTGAAGTAGCGCAGGCCAAGTTCGAGTCGAAACGGTCATTGAGTACGTTACGTCCTCTACATGTCAAGTAATTCGACGTCATTGACGTTACATATAGCAATGAACTATCGCCGTGGAGGACAATATGGTTTACTGCTGGCAATATTGCCTTGCGTTCGGCGAACTCTGATATGGACGGCAATCCCCCGGATCGGTCTGATCGGTCTCAAAATTTCGCAGCCGTTATTTCTGAATTGTGTCATTCGATATCTCTCCGTTTCTACCAAAGACAATGCTGTTGGAGGGGCGCTTGTTGGGGCTACAGTCCTGATCTATTTGGGAACGGCAGTACGCTTCTATACCAACCAATCATTTACCCGTTAAAGGCATGAAGCACGCTGACAAAAAGTCTGTCCAGGCTACGACATCGCTATATATGCATGGGCTAAATCGTGCCATCACTGTGATTCGAAGTCTTTTAATTACTGCTCTCTATGAAAAGACACAGCGACTGGACACTGTTACGGTCAATAACTCAGCTGCGCTAACATTGATGAGCACCGACACAGAGACCATCTGCAACAGCTTGATGCGATTAGACGCCCTATTCGCTTCGCCCATCGAGGTCAGCCTTGCCATATTCTTCCTTGCACGACAAATAAGCTGGGCATGCTTAGCATCGGTTGGCTGTGCCCTGGCAGCTGTATCCCTCAGCTATGTTGTAGCCGCCCGGTCACCCCCACGCCAGAGAATATGGAACCAGGCTGTCCAAGAGCGCATTGCAACCACTGCGTCAGTTATCGGTTCTATTAGGAGCATCAAGATGCTGGGTATCTCTTCTTTTATAGAGCGGCGGATATGTGATCTCCGGAACTTCGAGCTTGAACGCGCTCGTGGGGCCCGGATGCTTATAATGTGGAGAAACGTTGTTGGTATATCTCCCTTATCCACACTCCAGCGAGAATATCATACTGATCGGCCGCTACAGCAAACATACCACAAATTGCTGGACCGATTCTGACCTTCACTATTTCCACGATGGTCTCCGGAAGTGGTGTGGTCACTTCAGCGAACTCCTTTACCGTTCTCGCCCTGATTGCTTTAGTCACTCAGCCTATCCAAGTCTTTGTTCATGGAATAACACAAGTAGGAGTTGCTCTAGGTTGTTTCAAGCGTATTCAAGACTATCTTCTATTGCCAGAAATTGAGACTGGTCAAGTTTCTTATCACAGTGACGATCATCAAACATCAGGTAAAGTGGCCCCCGGGAGCGTGTTTCAGCTGAAAGCCCTCCCCACGGATGCCAGGTGTCTGTCTGTCCAAAAAGCCAGTTTCAAATATGCAGATGCTACCACACCGATTTTGACGGACATAAACATCGAGATACGCCCCTCTACGTTGACGATCGTCACAGGAGCTACCGGCTCCGGGAAATCTTCGCTACTCAAAGGCCTCATAGGAGTTGTACCCTGCATCGCTGGTTCTTATTCAAAAGACGTGGCAATAGCTTACTGTGCACAAGAGCCCTGGTTGCCAAATGTCTCCGTAAGAGAAGCCATAATTGGCCCTTCTTACTTTGATGAAAATTGGTATACCGCTGTTATCCATGCATGTGCACTTGACGAAGACATTGCCACATTTTCCGAAGGAGACAGAACCTGCGTTGGCTCCGGTGGCACTTTCCTGAGTGGCGGACAAAGGCAGCGCCTGGCAATAGCGCGTGCCATATACTCTCACAGAAAGCTCCTAATTCTCGACGATGTACTCAGTGCACTGGACATCATCACTTCCAGAAAAGTCTTTGATCGCGCTTTTGGTCCGGAAGGACTATGTAAAACCCACCATGTTGCGGTTGTTCTTGCCTGCAGTGATCCCGAGCGCGCTTTCTCACCTGATGTGGTCATAAAACTCCGAGATGGAACGGTCACGTCAGGAATCTCGACTGATATACTTTCTGAAAAGATCATCACCCTACAGAGTGAGAGCGAAGCAAGACCTACCGATGAACGACACCCCGTGACAACAGGAACGAAGAACAAACTCATAGAGTCCCGCCAGGACCTACCACGCCGGCTTGGTGACTTCTCTGTCTACCGATACTACCTTAAATCAATGGGCTGGAAATCATCCGCCTGCTTCATGTCTCATAGTCGTGCAAGTATTCGGCTCCAAATTCCCTACTCTATGGCTCCAATACTGGTCCGACCATGACTTCAATTACTTCCTCAGCGTATACCTAGGGGTCTACGGAGCTTGCGCCTTTATCCAGCTTATTGGCACCATCCTAAGCATCACATTCCTCATCATCTTCCTCGTCGCAAAAAGCTCCCGCCGTTTACACACACAGCTACTAACCGCTACCATGAATGCACCCTATTCATTCTTCACCACACATGACAGCGGAACCATCCTGAACCGATTCAGCCAAGATCTCTCCCAAATCGATAACCAACTATCCGGCGCGCTTCTCATGACGATCTTCGGTGCCGGAACGCTTATTGCCGAAGTCATGCTTATTGCCGCAGGAAACAAATACATTGCTATTACGGTGCCGTTCGTGATCACTGTTTTCTACGCCCTGCAAAACTTCTACCTGCGCACTTCACGTCAGCTACGGCTCATGGAACTCGAAGCGCAGAGTCCGCTCTACACGCACTTTCTTGAGACAGCCTCCGGCACGGATACCATCCGCGCATTTGGCTGGCAAGCTGCATGGGCGGCGCGGTGCCGACAGTTAGTCGATAGGGCAATCCAGCCGTATTATACAATGTTTTGTATACAACGCTGGCTGAACCTCGTTCTCGACCTCCTGGCAGCGGGACTGGCAATTATTGTTGTCACCGTGGCGGTTACGCTAGGCTTATCGGTGCATACTGGCGCGATTGCAGTTTCTTTGCTGAATATCCTGGGCTTCAGCAGCAGCCTGTCATACCTCATTACTTCGTGGACGCAGTTGGAGACGACGCTTGGCGCTGTTGCTCGCGTCAAAAGCTATGAAGAGACTGTTTCGAAAGAAGATGCCCAAAATAGTGGGCTTATCCAACAGCCTACGGATGACTGGCCATCTCGCGGCTCGATCAGGTTCGACCATGTCTACGCAAGCTACGACGCACAACAGAGTCCCCATCAATGCATTTTGCGCGATATTGCCCTTAATATCCATCCTGGAGAGAAGGTAGCTATTTGCGGCAGAAGCGGAAGTGGGAAAAGCTCCCTCATCCTCCTGCTTTTCAAACTTCTCGATCCCATCGCGGGCTCCGTGTTTATTGACGGGATAAATTTACGCGATGTTCCCTGCGACGTTCTACGAGCCCAACTTACCATTATACCCCAAGACCCTCTGATACTTCCAGGAACATTACGATTCAACCTCGATCCCAGCGGAGAACGGTTCTCTGACGAGGCAATGCATTCAGCTCTGGATACAGTACGTCTAGGGATGGATCCTAGTACAGGGCAGCCATATTCTCTAGACCTTCAGATGAGTGAGGGGACTTTCTCACGAGGACAATGCCAGCTTTTGAGTCTAGCGAGAGCGCTCCTCCGTCAAACAGAAACGAAGATCCTTGTTTTGGATGAAATCAGTGGGAATGTTGACATTGCTACGGAGCGGTTGATGTTCCAGATAATTAGGAACTGTTTCGAGCATGCGACTGTCATTGCAGTGACGCATCGGCTAAGGTGTATTCAGGAGTTTGATCAGGTTGTGATCATGCAGAATGGCTGTGTCGTGGAGTGTGGAAGGCCCGGGGAGTTGCTTGGTGGGCGGAATTTGTTTAGGCAGTTGTGGGATGAGCAGTGAGCCTTTTCCGAGATTTGGGTCGGAGATGACGAGGTAATCTTTTTTTTTTTTTTTTTTTTTTTTTTTTTTTTTAAACAAACGCCTCTTGACTTGTAGAGTGAACTAACCTATGTATTCCATTGAAGCCAACTGCCATTTCCATTGGAAGTACAACATCCGCATCTCCAAGTCCGAGCAGTCATACCTTCTCTCACTCGCACGATAAGTACTCGAAAGTGATCCATGCTAGTTACATATAGTTTGACACCGTCTGATTAAATTGAAGTTTCTGTCACGTGTGACTACTCTAGGTAATGTTGTAATAACCCTCGTCCGAGCCGAAAAATTTGTTCTGTTATTACATGAATTCGTTTCTGCTCTTTTGGTAGAGTAAAAGAGACAACGCTGTCATCTCGCTATCAAAAGAGATAGAGCAAGACAGAATGTCTCAGACGTGCTGTCGTAACAATTTACTACTAGTTTTGGAAGGATTCAGGCCTTATCTGCTAACAATAAGCCTAGGCCCGTACATCGGATAAGGTGAGACTATTAATCGGCAATCAATATGCCGATTAGTCAATCAAATAACCCCTACTAGCACTCTGGGTTCCAGCCTTGTGGAATGCTTGACGTGTCTTAATGCAGCGGTGGAGAATAGTCGTAAATTTGAGTAAAGATTATTATTTGGTACAATGCACACGGATTGATAGGGTGGTACTGCGTATTTGAGCTCCTTGAGGTAGATAAGCCTGGTCAAGATTACTCTCTCGCTCATCTCTCTCTTGTGGAGGTATAAAATCACAGACGTACGACACTGTACTCAGTCTGGATCTATCCTTTAGTAGTGGTCTTATGTGTCTTAGATATGTTCATTTAGATTCTCATGGCAGTTTAGACTATAATTGAACCATCCTATAGATCAACGATCTACACATCATTGGTTATACATACAACCACAGATCCACTGTGAAACGTGGATGTCACCAGGTCTACCTGAATAAAGAAAATAACAGATCCTGGGAGGATTAGTGTATCTGCTAGTATGTTCACATGTGAGATAAATATGCATGTGGACAGTACCTCATTTCATATATGCGGCTATTGTTGCCTAATCGATGGCGAAGATAGTCCTCGCTTGCACACCATCTCATTTAGTTATCTGATAGTACGTACCTAATGTATAGTATGTCTAGCAGTAAATTAGGTGCATTAGCATATCTGGAAACCTCATATGATGTCCCTATCTTCCATTCATGTATGGGTAACCCGAACACTGAGAGTTTTGCGTAGTAAGAAAGGTAAAATAGGCAGAAACGGCCGGAGGAATAGTAGTACTAAAGTACCATTTCACATGTGCGATAACAACTAATTTGACAGATAAGATACTGCTAGATATAAATACTAAGCTGCGGCGGCCTCCAGAAGCCTAGTGTTGAATGAGTACTACTTAGTAGTTAGTAATCCCTCCCTATTAACTAGTTAGGTTACTTAGTACGACTTCTTTACTACTAGTAACCTTTACCATCTAATTACTGATATCCCGGTATACTAATCTACTATACCCAGATCCTCACAATCATGAAAGTGACTCTTACACTAAAACGACCCCCCTCCGCTGATGACATTACCTAACTCCATCAGTCCCTCAAGGCCATTCATCCGGAAGTTACTGAAACCTCGCGCGAGACCTCCGCATCAGCTTTGCGGCCCCTACAACAGACATTGAAGCTTTTGTGGATTTATTTAGTTCATGGCTTCATTCTTCTTCGCCGGATGTGATTATGGAGGGGTATGCTGTAGTTTCTGATATATGATTTTTAGATCCTTTTTTTGTCTTCTCTTCCATTTGTTTCCTCCTGGTTTTTAGCCTTCGGGAATGACAAGTTTGATGGTTTTGTGATGTATTTCAGTGTGGTCTGATGCTGTTTTAACTTGGTACAATATAGTCTTTGACATAGTTGATCGTACGCAAAGGTAGTAGATGGGTCGATGTGGTATTTAGTTCAATGTCAGCGATATTATCTAATAGATCCTAGGAAACTAGTTAGTGTATCTGTTAGTATAGTAATCACATGTGCGATACCCATTACTATGGACAGCTCCTTCAGCCTTGTTGCCGTTGTAGCCGCGGCATCATCAGCATGTCTCTTGGGCTACTTGGCTAGTCTATCTTTCTAGATAGATTGCAGGATCTGAGTTGGCAATCTTCACACTGAGTCAGAAGTCTGGGTAAATTCCGCATATGACGCAATGCCCTGCCATAGCCTTGCACCCATGACACTGCCATGCGACGGTTACTCTCGGGGTCAGACTTGTGAGGCTCAAAATAAATAGTGGCAGGGCACAAACACTGCCCTCCTGAGCAACATACTTAGTAAATCGGTCAACAGATAGTCTCGGACGAACTGCCACGAATCTTGGATAGTCTAATGGACGCTAGACGATGGACTGGAGAGGACATCCCGCGATGCAAGCCGCGGACTGGGGACGGTGTCTTGTAGCGACCCCACCAAGGCGGGATGGAGTGGAGCCGTTGATTGGGGCAACACGGCGTGCTTTCTCCACGGCCCTTTCTGTGGATGGCAAAAAAAGATCAATCGAGAAGGCCAGCTGAGTTGCGTTGAGCTGCAAAAGGCTGGGATTGAAATTGTTGTTACGTCAGCTTCTGACTTGGCGGGCACGAGAAGCGAGCAAGCGAGCTTCTCATTTCGCTGTCTCTGTCACAGTTTGCATGTGTAGCTCACCCCGCCGAAGTTAGATGCATATCGGTCGACTGGTAGGAACTCAAGGCTGCGGGCTCACGCAACGGGGGAATTTTTGTAACGTATCCAATTGCTTGAACCTACTTTGTTAACAGCCCCCGATCATCGTCGAGCTTAAACTGGGATGGGCATGATTTGCGAGGGAAAAGGCTCTCTGCCTCTCCTTAAAAGGTCCCCTGAATAGTTCCACAAGTCACGGATGATCTATCTATATCCCCTATATCACTTAGAGGATATGGAGTACGGGGTAGAACGCACATGGTAGCTGAAATCATGACAGCCTACAGTTAACGGTTGCGACACATGCTCATGGCGGCTCTGATTTGAGTAACCCCACATAAAAAGACTCATGCAGTAATCAGCTCATGACTTGCGCCAGAGCCAATAAGGTAGTTCGCCGTGGCTCCTGCAATGATATGTACGACAGAGGCCGGTGTCCGCGTCGCCCAAGTAACGTCAGGAGAGGCAGGTCGGGCGTTTACAGCCTCCCGCCGAGTTGTTCAGCCCGCTTGGGATCATCGGGATCATCGTGGGAAGGGAAACGCTGTCGGGAAGCAAAGCAAAGCAGCACCGCCTCAGGTGGGACTCGTTACTAAGTGACTGGCCCAGTCCCTGTGCACCACCGTGTCTCAGAATCAAGGGATTGGGGGCCTGGCCCCCGGGTTTGAGATCTCGCTTCAGGGGAGTAAGACAAATGATAATACAGAGTACCAAGGAAAATAAAATCGGTGGGAATGAATGGGAGGGAAAGGCTTAGCACTGATCACATCGCAATTTATAGAAGCTGGCCATCAAACCACAAGGGATGGCGACGGGGAGGGAGCCAATGAGAGCCACCAGGAGTTGAGTACCGCCAACCGACCGGGGAAAGATCGGCCAGCGACAAGTGTTTCAGCCACGAACAACCAGGGAATCTTCGCGATCGCCGCGTCATGCGTTGATGTTGCCCTCGACTCTCTTGCCTTTTCTCCCCCAATGCACGGCCCCAGTCAGGGTCGACACTCCCCTGACGACTGCCGCTCAACTACTAGTAGTATATTACGCACACAATGGACGCAATGAAAGTGCGCCCGTCTCCTTCGGCGCTTTCTCCACCTCTTCCCCTTGACCTGGGTGCGACTGCCCTTACAATGCGATCCATTTCTTCCCAGGTTCATCTCTCTTCGTCTGCCCTTTCGCGATGGCGCTCTCCGGTTGCTCTCGCTGGCGCCTACGACAAAGCTATCATCTTTGCCTCTTCTATATCACAGGCTTTCTGAGTTTCTTGTGCATCATCGTCATCTGGTATTGCGTCAATACCGACCGCGACTATATTCACCCACTGTTGACCCAGCTGATCCCTGCCGGACACTGCGCCTGTCAAACTTCCACCACTTTCCAGTGCGCCAGCTGCCTGACATGTTCGCATCCGGGCCTGGTGCAACAGCTCTCTCCAGCTCCGGCGTGGGAATTTCAGCCTGCTCGAGACGGCAGCAATGAAGGTCTTGATCGGGCCCAATGTACGAATGCATTCCCTGGTCTCTTTGAAGATGTTGTTCGCGCCACGGCCTTTTGGAAGTCTCAGGGCGCGCTGGCTATGGAAGACTTGGACGAGATTCCTTTAGCATATGGCATGGCGCGGGCGTTCATCCACGCTGGTGAGCTTCATGTGGTTGCTGCGCGGTCCAAAGGTGAAGACCATCGACGCAAGATCGTCGCCGTGTTGAGTTCAATCCACCGGGCGTTAGTCGCCGATGCCAACCGTACCTCGCGACGAGATATCGAGTTTGTGTTCTCTGTGGAGGATAAAGTGGAAGATGTGACCAACTCCGATCATCCTGTCTGGACTCTGGCACGATCTGCCACGGAGGAGGCCGTCTGGCTAATGCCTGATTTCGGATTCTGGGCCTGGGAGAATATCCAGAACTCAATTGGGCCATACGATCAAGTTGTTAACCGTATCAAACGCGCGGATATTCCTTGGTCGGAGAAGAAACCACAGCTGGTCTGGCGAGGAAAGCCTAGCTTTGCCCCCAAATTGCGCCGCGCCTTGATGGAAGCCGCGCGAGATCAGCCGTGGGGGAATGTGAAGCAGGTTGACTGGGACCAGAGGACGAACATAATACCCATGGAGGATCATTGTCAGTATATGTTCATCGCGCATGTCGAAGGTAAGCTTTTCCTCTTAAAGCTAGCGATGCCCGACCGCATCTGTACTGACTGGGATGCGTAATGCAGGTCGCTCGTATTCCGCGTCTTTGAAATACCGGCAAGCATGCA